TTGTTCTCATTCAGCTACAACGAGAGAAAGTCTTCTGATTTGCTCCCAACTGGCTTCAGCTCCTCCATGTAATACACCAGTGTGGGGCTACTAATATATCCTGGTTGCATGTGCAAGGAGGAAAGAACAAATGCAATCCAACTGAAATACTTTTGCACAAGCTGTTGTGTTTGCCAGAGACACTTTTTAGTGCAGAGAGACAAAACCCACGGACAATAAAGAATTATTTGAAATCCAGGATGACATCTTTAATTGTCTTTGTCTTAAAGGGGCCTTATTATGCTCATATTTAAGTTCGTATTTGTGCCTTTACAGAGACATGTTTACAGTAAATGCACAGTCATGTTTTGTTATTAATATGAGTGTATCCTTATCTCTATGTGCAACTTAATATGCATTATATACCAGGGCCGTTTCTCAATCGCGAGGATGCTTGCTTGGTAGCACATGTCTTCCGAGTCACTTGCTTCAGAAGCTAGGCAAGAATCCTTCCTGGCATTCGGAAAACGAAGAGTGGAACAGGCTAGCAAGTGTGCGTCATATGAGAGGCCCCGCCTTACATTTTCCGCCACAGATTTGGGGATATTGGTCCGTGCGCAAAGCATTGTGGGGATTTTTAAGACGCGAAGTCTACCCATGTGCAGCCTCGAAATTACCCCCAAACCAAGGACGCGGCCTCGGTGGAATTCCAAGTATGCTGGAGATTGGAACGGTCCTTCGGCGGCACTCGATGACGTAGCATCCTTGAAATATTGGCTTGGAAGCCAGTTTCCTCGAGATTGAGAAACGGCCCAGGTTTAAACACAATGAATAGATATGCAAATAACTGTATTTACAATATTTTACATGCTAAGTATATGCAAACCCACGATCAAAAGCTATAAATTACAACAGAAAGTAAAGCTGAGAACAAATGCAGAATCTAATGGTTATTCTCTGTGTCAACCTTAATCCATATTTAATCTAAAACATATAAAAGCTTTAACAGTTTGAGATCACAAACAATCTGTCAATCCCACTCGAGGCGGAGAATCTTTTGACCTCATGCCAACGTATCAGTCACTTACTTCATTCAGTGTGTGAGGAAAGTGGAGTGGAACATCTCAAAGTAAACACACAGATGTTTGTAGAAAACGTGTGAATGACTTTTCAAACTTATAGCAGTAGGCCAAGCTCCATCTGTTTCTCCTTTTCACTGTTTCTCTGCGGAAGCCGCCAGAATAAATCTCTCAGATACAGCCGCAGCTTCCTTTTTATTCTATATATTAAACCCAAGTATCACTTTCTCGTGTAAGCTGAACACTGGGTGCTTTCATCTCTCAGTTTGAATGTCCTTGTGTTATACATTTTTTACTTTCATCATTGTATTTTGGTATAATAACAATATGTTAGTATGTAGACATTTTTTATATTGGGACCTATAATCCCGTTTTGGATTGGGTCGCAAGCAACGAAACAGAACAACAATTGAGGGCAGAACAGTATAAGACGCAGAGTTATGTAACAGAACAATACATAAATAAATACCAGTCAGTGTAGGAGAGACACACATGCACCAAACACCTATACATGCAGGAAAGGGAAAACCCCCCCAAGAGCGCCCTTTTATTCCAATCAGCAGGCGGTCCAAACATAAAACTTTTTAAACTTTTTTATTTACAACGCCACTATAAAGTGAATTTGATCAGAGCCTCTTAGCGAGTAATGTGATGCATAGGGAACTAAAAATGATTTAGACAACACGCATAGTTGAATTTAAGATATTTAGAAATAAATTGACAATCATACATCAAGACGGGGAATAATGTTTGCAATGGTGCACGCTCAATACACTGAATGTGTGTGTGTGTGTGTGTGTGTGTGTGTGTGTGTGTGTGTGTGTGTGTGTGTGTGTGTGTGTGTGTGTGTGTGTGTGTGTGTGTGTGTGTGTGTGTGTGTGTGTGTGTGTGTGTGTGAAGTGGTGAAGGAGGCCTCCAGTTCTCAGGCTGCAGAAACACTGTCCTGGAATGTTAATTGCTATGACTGGTCAGCCTCATAGATAACACACAAGGCCGCTTTTAATAAACCAAAGATCAGGATGTCCCACTGTCTCCCCCCCGCCCCCTGAGATAAGGAAGAGGAAGTGTGTGTGTGTGTGTGTGTATTTGTGTGTGTGTGTGTGTGTGTTGTTTGTTGTTTGCTGAACCCCCCCCCCACTTTCATTCCCTGCTTCTTCTTGTTGCTTCTTCACAAATAGAGAAACAGAAATATTGCAGTGTGAGGTGAGACTCAGAGCGCATGTATTATTAAGACAGGAGCTGAAGTTATGCTAATAAGGAGCCTTTTTGTGCTAAAAATCTTACGGTTATTTAAATAATTTCTCTGCTTCCCCATCCTCATCCTCATCCGCAGTTCTTCTTCTATCCATTCAAGAGTCATACACTGAAGGACGAAGCGTTGGCATGAAGCTGTGCTCATGCTGTTTTAAGGGAGGTGACGGTACATTAGACTGCGGATACACAGCTCAACAAAGACCTCCTCCCACACGCAACGTATAATAAAGAGCTCATTTTATCCTCACCTCCTCCTCTCTGACATACATTATTTCCAGGAAACGCATATAGATTGTAGAGATTTGTATGGATATAGGAAAATGGATGCATGCACACACATAACCTCTCACAATCCCCCCTGTGAACTGAAACAGAACAGAATTCAATTATAAGAACATACATGATGAACATATGTGATTCTGAGAGCTATCCGTCATAAAACTGGAGCCTGTTTGCATCCATGTGACCCACTAGACCAGGGGTGTCATGCTTTACAGAAGCACATTGCCCATAAACTACATGTCCCACAATGCATCTCAAATTAGACTTTTTTTTCGGAATTCGACTTTTTTTTTCAAAATGTTACTTTTCTTTCAAAATTTCACTTATTTTTTTTTAAGAATTTGGCTTTTCTTTTTAAATCTTTTTGTGACATGTATACGGAAGAGGATTAGGGCCGCATTAATTTTTCTCAAATCCTCCCAAAAAAAAATCATGTGGCCATAATCCTCTTCCGTACATGCACACTGAAGAGACTTGCAATTGTTTGCCCGAGACTTCTGCTTTCAGACGTAGTTAATTATGAAGTTATTACCCTATCCCATAATAATCCAATGCAGAGGCAATCATGTCATATTATATAATACATTATTTTATATATATTATATATTTATATATGTATTTTTATATAGTCTTAAAGTTACAACCGGCCCTTTGAGCGCAACAATAATGCTGATGTGGATGAAATTGAGTTCGACACCCCTGATTTAAATTGTTATATGAGGTGATATTTCCATGAACATAGTGAGGTAACTGAAGAGAAAATAATCATATTTTCAGTATAAAGCTTAAAACATTGTTACATTACTGAACAAGTTGCTGCTTGTTGGATGGACTTTTTAACATTAAATTAATGTTCATTTTAATGCATCAAACATTATAATCCGACCATATAGTATGCACTATTTTAAATGGATCATAATAATATTTACTTTAAGTATAATTTTATGCTCACACCTTTGTACTTTTTCTTTAAACATGTTGAATTAAGTAAACTGCACCTTTAAATAAGTAAGATCTGAATACTTACATTTTTAATTAAAAGTTATTGTAATAAACTGTTAAAAAATCTATAATTGTCTTAGCATAAGTGCGGGGATCCATTAATATCACACACTGATGCAATCCAACATCGGATGAGTATCTGAGTGTTATTTCTCGAACAAAAGCTTTGTTTACATTGGCTTCCACTCGGCCGAAGAGTTGATTTTAAAGTACTATTGCTAGTTTTTAATTCATCGAACCGTCAAGGTGCCTCAGGTCTTCTGGGACGGGTCTGCTATCGGTTCCGAGAGTAAGAACAAAACATGGAGAAGCAGCGTTTAGCTATTATGCCCCGACAATCTGGAACAAACTGCCCGAATCGTGCACGTCTGCAGAAACTCTTACTATTTTTAAATCGAGACTGAAAACATATCTCTTTGCCGCTGCTTGTACTGTATACCTGTTGTGTTTATTTGACTATCTTTGCTTTTTAATGCCTGTTGTAAAATGCCATTATATAATGTGTTTTTACTGTATTTATTCCTAAAATGTATTTTAATTTGTTTTGTAAAGCACTTGTGCTATATAAATAAACTTGCCTTGTTTGGATGTTGTTGTTTACGCTGACTCTCTGCACTTTGATAACAGAGGAATGCTAAGCAGGCGGCGGAGAAGCGCTACGCAGACGCTCTGCAGGGATGTGACCTGACTGAAGACTTCATCAGCAGCAAGGCGGCTGGAGCAGGATCAGAACACAACGCCTCTGAGTCCAGAGACAGCACACAGAGGTGAGTCTGCGGAAACACACACACACACACTGCGGCGGAGTGTAATGAGATGAATCATCTGGGAGGGGCCGCAGTGAAACATTTCATCAAATAAAAAGGGGCAGATTCTTTTGGGCTGCGTACTTTCAAATTCTAGCGCACTCGAGCTGGTTTCTCCATTCTTACCTACCCTACCTTTAAGTCAAATACAAACATACAAAACCAGATTTAAATATGTTATTGATTCACAGTTTTTTTGATTGATTCATAAACAAAATACTCAATAATATGCATCACAACAAGGATAAATAATTAAATCAATAGTAAAAATATGTTTATTACTAGAAGTGAAAACACAAATGAACACCAAAATGTGATTAGGGTAAATCATAGAAACCCCATTTATCTCATGGAGTGGGGAATCTTTGTTAGACTTGGATCCGGGTGATTAGTGATCAATTGTTTAGTGATTTGTTAGATATAATCGGGGGTATGAGACCCTCTTTAATGGTCTCACATGCAGAGCACACAGTGACATGTGTTCTCTGCTTTTAACCCATCCTAGTACCAGGAGTCTAGGCACTAGGAGCCACTCGGGCAGCTATTGTACAGCGCCCAAGGAGCAATGGGAGTGGGGGGGGAAGGGAGGTGTCCGGTGCCTTGCTCAAGGGCACCACGGCAGGGCAGGAGGTGAACTGGGACCTCTCCAAGTAGAAGTCTGTACTCCATGTTTAGGTCTGGTCGGCGACTTGAACCGGCGACCCTACGGCTCACAGTCCAAGCCCCTACTGACTTTTGTTTGTGTGTACTAATGATTACAGCCATCTTTAAGGCCTGCTAGTGTCATTGATCTGATCTGATTGTGTTCCTGCTTGTTAGTGAACAAGAGGAGCCAGACATGGGGTACAAACCTGTTCACTACAGGAAGGTCTTCATGGGAGATAACGATGTGGATCCAGAAGAAAAGGAAGGAGGAAGCGACGCGACTTCACGAGGTCTCCGCGACAGTGAGGACGCCAGCAGTCACCACTCTGATCAGGATTCAGATGGAAGTTACCACTACTCAGACGATCACGATAATTATTCAGACGACAGCGAGCACGAAGCTGACACCACAAAGCAGGAAGAAGGGAAGTGATGGCATCGAATATCATGAAACAAGCGGCCATTGCTACGTCCAAAAACTCTGATAGACACAACTGAGTGAGGAGGAACAACGAAAAGTTTTCAATTCCTTAAAATTACAAGATGTTATATGTTATTGTAAATATTGTGCTCACATATTGTGCTCATAAAATTGAGACTTTGATATCTTTAACCTGATACTATACATGTACATAGTGAGCAGTTATTTGACATTTCCATCACTTTGCATCAATAATGACAGGTTTAATTTCACATAACTGTAGTTTCAACATCTGTAAAATGTAATGTAAAACACTTGTGTAATTAGATCTATGATATAAATTAAGTTATATTTATTTATTGCTATATGAAATATTTATTGTTGTTTTTTTGTTGTTACACTGGACGATCTTCAATAAAGCCGCAAAAAGTGACCACTTGTTTTTTCCTGTAATGAATTTAAGCACTGGCGGAAGAAGAATACCACACTGTGTAAATACTCCACTCATAAAAATGTATTCAAAACCTTAATTAGGTTAAAGTTTGTTAATAGTTATACCAAAATATTATCAACCAATACAAATATATCTAAGTATATTAATAGATTAGGCTATACAGCCATACAGTACATACATCTATCAATGAATATAAAAAATATATATAACCAACGCATTTTTTGTATTACTTTCAGATGGATTATTCTGCATAATGAGGAGCCTTTTTCTATTTATTTGTTCACATAAAGTACATTTCGAAACTAATACATTTTATATTTAAATGCAGGACATTTACAAGGCTCTTTCATACAAAATACATACACACAAAGAGATAAAACAGTGCAAGAACCAGGGTATGTGTTAAGTGAGTGTAAATATTGTATTTATTTTCAATTATTAAAATGGTCTTACTTATTATACTTATAATAGGACAATGTTTTGCTCCTTTTTGTAACGTTTTCTTCTTTCTGTGTGTTTGTATGCACCATTTACACCAAGGCGAATTGCTCTTATGTGTAAACCTTCTTGGTTATAAATATCTGATTCTGAAGATATTTACTTTATATCAGAGGGAGGGAGGCTGAACCAGATTGACAGCTCCACCCAGCCTATGACACCGCATGACGTCTGCACCCGCACAGCCAACCAGGACCCAGGTGGGCGGGTACATAGTCCAAATTTTACGCGGCGCGCAACGGGCCGAAACACCGAGAAAGAATATCCCGGTCTCAACCGGTTTCAACCGGTCCGTGGTTGGAAGCATGAGCTTAGAGGAAGAGCCCACTTGCACGCATTAAAACATCTCTGCTCTCCAACAGTGTGTGCGAATAGAATCAGAAATAAACACGAAACTCTTTTTACTTCGTGATTATGACCCGGAATACTGCTCTAAAGTGTGACTCCGAGAATCTGTGTTGTTAGCTTAGCTTAAATTAGCCCGCAGACCAGAATCTTCATTGACTTTTCCATTAGCACGCTACATTGCTATTAGCCTGGTAAAAGGGAGGCGGCTGTAATCACTGATCGCTAAAGAAAAATATACGTTTTTCTGGCTGAAGACAAGAAACTATAGGCTGTGGTAATCTGCGGAAAGCTTTTTAATACACCGCCAAGAATCGATAAGTATCCGTGTAACGGTGTTTTTAAATTAGAGCTGTTGGTGTCATCCAGTGAAGCTAACGTTAGCATTTTAGCTATCGAAGGTTAGGAGCAAACGTGTGTCATGAGATAACGTTTCATCGCTTTGAGAGGATTCATATTACTACAAGACACATCTGATAGGACAGTTATTGTTTCCAAGGAAAGGACAGGACACCCAAGGTAAGTTAAGCCCGATAAACAGTAACCTAACTTACCCAGCGTGGGCTAACGTTAGCATCCCTTTCTAAAGTAATGTGGTTGTTGTTGTCTAACTACACGAACCACAAACTGACATAGTGCAGTTTTGTAGCCCGAAGACTAGTATCTCCAGGATCTGTTTCCCAACCGTCTTTTAATTAAAGTGTAGTATAAACGGGTCTCTCGGTCGGGTTGTGGTGAACGGGGTTCTACGCGCCCTGTTTTCCAGGTGGGGGCGCCGTTTCATCTCGTCCTAGTTTATGAAATAATGGGTGTCATAATTGGACCACGAGGCTGACAGTCTTGACACATTTTTTTCTGAACAGGAATAACTTTTCTTATTATTTACTACTACTTTTTATCCGTGTACTATTGTATTGTATATCTTCAATATGTATCCATGGTAGGCATTATTCCTGCACTGTCTTAACACCTTACCATGTTTGTACCTTTGCTTTAGTCCATTTGCACATACTGTGTAATTATAGTATCAGAAGTGTTCCTGTTGTAGGTTAGCAGACTGGCCTCACTTATTGTGATTGTATTCATAAGTAAGCAGTCTTTCTATGTTGTCAACGTAGGGCTGATAGTAACTCCTCTTTCTGTACCGTACTGTTTTTTTTTTTACCTGATTAGAAAATAACATGTTGAATCTTGACCTGGGGAACCAGCTTTCAGTTAAATGTTGTGCACTAAAGAATACAATATTTCACTCTGAATGTTACTTGAGTAGTATTTTGAAGTGGCAGAAAATGGAAATGCCTACTTGAGTTAAGATTCCACCCCTGATTTAAATGTCCTGTTTGAGTTCCCAGGTTTGTAGAGCAGTATTTCAAATGTAAATAAAGCATATTTATTATCATACACACTAGAGTCACAGAGAAGCAGCTGCTGGCAATGAAAGTCTTCACTCCTACCATAGATCTGTTTATTTTTTTAACTTTCAACTAGTCATATCTTTGAGTATTATCAGGTGCTGTTATATAGATATGGTGTTTAAACGGCTTCTCTTCCCTCAGAAGCTCTATGCCAGCCGAAATGACGATGTTGGCCGATCACCCAGCCAGACAGCTGCTGGACTTCACTCAGAAGCTGGACATCAACCTGCTGGATAATGTTGTCAACTCCATGCACCATGACATTGGATCACAGGTGAGGACTAACACTTCAAGTGTCTGAATGCTGTGTTGCGTAGCTTAACCCTGCTCCTATTAGGAGCGATCAGGTCAAATAAGATGTGTAAGAAAATAAACCTTAACATTTATATTCGCTGTATTGCTCTTTTTTTTTTTATAGCAAAGAGTGGCCCAGGAAGTTCTCACAAACCTCAAGGACCACCCAGACGCCTGGACGAGGGTCGACACCATCCTGGAGTTCTCCCAGAATATGAAAACAAAAGTACGTACCTGATGAACGCTGGTGTTTCAGAAGCGATGAACTCCTAGCTGCTGCTTGTTGACGGTCTCTCTTGGGGAACGTAATAATGTGAGCTGATGTTTATCAGTTTATCCACATCAGGCTTTCAGGGCAGGGAGGTTTGAGCATGACTTCTGCTTTAGCCCAGCTGTATTTATTGGATTTTCTTCAGCCTATAGATGCTTACTGTGTTAATAATGTGGGGTCGTCTGCTTAAGTATTTCAATTTTTGCTGCATCTTTTGATAATAATATAGATAGAATCAATAGAGTTTGATTGATTTGCTAAATAGGCTTGATATAAATGGATAATCTGCACTGAGTTGTAACAACAAGAGATATTAATTTGAGTACGTCAATTTGAAATATTTAAGAAGACATGGGTAATATGTAAATGTTAAGAAAGTCATTTAAAAACATTTGAGTAAATCTCGGAAGTTAATGTGCCAACTACAGACTACTGATGCACACAGTTCATTTGATACTATATCAAGTATCCACGTGCATGGACATGTTTGGTCATGTCTTTCGATGGGGACGGTTCCTTGGTTTATGGGCCATGAGACATCTTTTGTTTAACCTCCCCATTGAGACATAACACATTCCATTTTTATTATATCATATTAAGCCATTTGTTTGTTGTTAATCAGCTCTGATGTAAAGAACATGTCTCACTTTTTCCCCTCAGTATTACGCACTGCAGATTCTGGAGACGGTCATCAAAACACGCTGGAAAATTCTTCCTAGAAATCAGTGTGAAGGTCAGTTTTATGATGTTAAATGAATATGCACATTATGTTTTCTGTCTGAAGTGTTACTTATCAGGGAAATACTTTTTGCATTTAAAAAATTCTAGTATGTGTTTACAGGTATCAAGAAGTATGTTGTTGGGTTGATCATTAAGACTTCCTCTGATCCTGCAAACATGGAGGTGAGCTTACACAAAGATACGTCACTTTGATTATTAACTTGCTGCTTGATACTGATGGGACTGGTGTGTTGTTCATTTGCAGAAAGAGGGAGTCTACATTTCAAAACTCAACATGATCCTCGTACAGGTGAATAACTCTTGATGGTTTACACGTGGTACACTAAACGTCATGATGCGATGAGCCTGCTCACACACAGCTCTGCTTCTCTGGACTGTTTCTAGATCCTGAAACAGGAATGGCCCAAACACTGGCCGACTTTCATCAGTGACATCGTGGGTGCGAGTCGGACTAGCGAGAGCCTCTGTCAGAACAACATGATCATCCTCAAGCTGCTCAGCGAGGAGGTCTTTGACTTCTCCAGCGGACAGATGACCCAGGTGAAGGCCAAGCACCTCAAAGACAGGTAACCGATGACTCATAATTAGGGTTGCAAAGGGGCGGAACATTTCCGGTGAATTTCCATGGGAAGTTAAGCTGGGGAATTTGGGAAATATTCCATATTTGAAATTAGGGGTGGGCAATATGACTATATATATCGTCAAGACGATATTAGGTCTCCACGATATGCCTTTTCAGAGATATCATATCTATCGTGATAGTGCACCAGGGTATGATTTTCACGGCGGCCATGACGGCCGGTCTGGCCGTGAAGCCCCGAAAATAATTGTACGTCCTACGGCCACCATGGCCTACGTGCCCCTGATACTGTTAAAATCTCGAAGTTGCTTTAAAAGCGTCAGAACAGTGGTTTCTGAACTGCGTTATGCTGCGTTCACAACGGACGCAATGCGAATATTCTCACCCTAACCGCTGGAGTTTCACCGCGGCTGTCAGCTGTGTTTACTCCTGTCATTCAAACAGGACGCGCTGGAGAGGGGGCGGGGCTTATATCCATGTAAATACTGTGGTGGAAACCAACTACGACAAAATTAACCTATTTTACTGTGATTTAATTGTAATACACGTTTCAAAATGATGCCGAAGTAACTAAATACTGATAACGGTTAGTAAAAACCAAGCTGTCTAGTCAGGATTCAGACAGTATTGCACTTCATTTATTGTCTTGGTTGATTCTGTTGGCTTATATTTTATTTTATCAATAAGGTATGTATATTGTTTTTCCCTTTTGAAACAGATGTTCAGTTATGTTAAAGTCTTTGATTGCACTTCAAGTCTAAAGTTTACATTTTAATTGTTTGGCACTGACTTTTCCTCATTTATGTTTTATGTTTTACTTAGTTATGTTTTACTCTCCTTTTCATGTTTATTGATGTTACATCACTGCTAGTGCTACCTAAAACAGAAAGTGAATTTTTATACTGAGAAACTGTGCCTTGAATATTTTATTTTATTTAGCAAGAGAGTGCACTTTACTTGGTGAAGAAACCAGTGTTAACGTTTGTTGTGTAGGGTGTAGGCCTACCTACGAACACTGTGAGGGCCATATCAAAATTCCTGTTGAATTGTTCATTCAGGGATTCATTGCAGAATTAAAACCAGCTTGAAATGGTATTTTGGTCTGTTACTCCTTTTTATTTTAGTTTTTGTTACCTTGTAGGTGGTTGTACTGTTAAGTAACTTGAAAAATAACCATAATAACCGACATGAAAAAATATCGTGATAAATATCGTCTATCGTGATACTGCTTGAAAAATATCGTGATATTATATTTTTCAATATCGCCCACCCCTACTTGAGCCCCACCACTGTATGGGTTAGCCCTACCATA